GTGGAGGAAGGGAGGGATTGGGACAGGAGGAGGGAGGGAACCACAGGGGGATACAAAGTGAATAAAGTCTAATTGCTAAAGAATTTTTAAAAATATTTATTTATTTATTATTTATACAGTATTCTGCATGCGTGCCTGCAGTCCAGAAGAGGGCACCACAGCTCATTATAGATGGTTATGAGCCACCATGTGGTTACAAGAAATTGAACTCAGAACCTTTGAGAAAACAGCCAGTGCTCTTAACTTCTGAGCCATCTCCCTAGCCTCGTAGTATATTTTCTTAAGGCACTTGATTGCATAAGCATTGACACACAGGAAATTCTTGGTATAGGCTGGGTTCATTTCCATATCACTAATATATAAAATCAGTATGTCCACATGGAAAATGTAATGATATTCTCTGAGGAAGCTATTTATTCACTAAGATCTAAATAACCACCTTCTAACATTTTTTTCAAACCATATAGCAACTGCAAGAGAGAGCAATGATTTAAGTACCATTGCAGACAGTTTTGGTTAAAAATTGACAAACCACAAAACAGCCTTGGTCTATAGAAGCACAACCCAGGATGGATTATTTGAACAGGGCCTGCAACATTATTTCTCATTAAAGCAATAAGTATATATTCATTTCTATACTTTCTTTGTTCAGTTTTTGTTTTGGATAGTCTTGAATGTTTTCAGTAAAATGAGTTATTATTGATAAAGTGCCAGCTCAGCGCAAGCCCTCATGTTGATAGTGTTATTGTTGGCAGCACCTTTTGTCCTAGAAAGGGCCTTGGCAAAAGAGGGAATTTACAAAATAGTCTTTGTTTGATATTTTAAGACTCAGAGTTTTGGCTTCCTTAGAATGTTAGGTCTAAAGCATAAACCCTAGAAAATCCATTAAAAATTTTAACTAGGTGCTTCCTTGTTGTATCTATTTATACATCAGCACCAATGGTCTTATTATAGAAAATATTGTGTGTAGGGCTGAGGTTGCCTCAGTAGTTAATAGTGTACAATGTGCTTGCAGAGGATCCTGAATTTAGTTCCTAGCACCTGTATCAGGCAGCTCACAATCACGTGTAACTCCGGGTCCAGGAAATTCATTTTCACTGTGCTTCTCCATCTGCTTTCTTCCATCGTTTCATAAGCATCTAATGCTACCCATAGCTCATGTATGGATTAATGCCCTTTGTGAAAGAGGGTCAGGAAAATCTTGTTAACAGGAGCAGGTGTGGAGTCAGGTGAAGATTAGTGCAATGAAGTTATCACGAATTGCACTGTTGGGCCTTTGCGATGGTTTGATAGTTAACATTTTTGGTGCTCATGGAGAGAATTTAGGTTCAGTCCCCAGCACCTGGCCTCTACAGGCACTTATGCCTACATGCACATACCCACACATGCAAACATAAAGACAAAAGTAAATCTTTTTTTTTTTAAAAAAAAAAAAAAAAAGGAGAAACGATTACATCTAATAACTTGTGCTTCTATTGTAGTGCCTTCCTCAGTATCATCAAAATGCTCGGTGAAAACATTGGAAATGGATGGCCTTCCTATTCTTCTTATAGATTATTTTGATTCTACTTCTTATACCAGTGAATGGAGCTAGTTAGGTAGAAACAAGTAGGAATGTAGGGGAAATGTAGCTTAAATCGATTTGAGCAATGCAGAGGTCAGTAAAGTTGCATTTAGTAAAAGGGTATTTTTTTAAAAGTGTGCGTGCTTGTGTGTGCATATGTGCATGCCTGTTTCTCCATGTGAACACCATGAGTGTGCATGTGCCCACAGAGGCCAGAAGAGAACATTGAATCTCTTCAAACTGGAGTTACAAGCAGTTGTGAGCCACCTGATGAAGGTGCTGGGGACTGAACCTAAATCTTCTCCATGAACACCAAATGTTCTAAACCACCGAACCATCTCTTTAGCTCCAGTAGAGCAATTTTTGGTAATTTTATCTCTCTAATTTTCATCTGATTCCACACCTGCTCCTGTTAAAAAGGATTTTACTGACCCCCTTTTCACAAAGGGCATTAATCCACACATGAATTATGGATAGCATTAGATGCTTATGAAATGATGGGAAAAATCATATGGAGAAATAAAATGGAAAAAAAATTAAAACAGGCCTGAGTTGAGATAGGAACTTGCAACTCAAGAAAGCAATATCTCAGCAACCAGAAGAGAAAAACATGTGGCAGTCTGGCTAAGTTCTGGAGGTGTTGAGTATAGATTATTTTTTGTGTGCCCTTACTTATTTCCAGAATGCTCTTGGGAGGTAGTCTCTAAATGATGTCACAGTAAGGGAACACTGCCTCTCCATAATCCTAATCCCTTTCAGAATTCAGGTCCTTATTTTCTGTCATCATTTAAAAAAAAAAAAAACAGTTACTACTATAGTACCATCATCACATTTATATTTAACAAAATCTCTTTAATACCATCATATATTCAGTCTTGTTTCTTTTCTGGTATCTTTAAATGCAGTATTACTTCTCTTTCACTATTATGTCATTGAGCAGAAAGGTAAATCTTGTTGAAATAGTTTTGTTCATGTCACTCTACTCTTCTATTACTCAGCTTTTTCTTAAACCCTCCTTTTTTTTCTTTCTTTCTAAATATAGAACTGAAAACTACCTCAGTTTTCTATCAAAATGCATTTTAAACATTTCTTATAGTTGAATCTTCCATAACTCCAGTATCATGTTGTCAGAGACTGAAGGCTTGCTCTTATTATTGGCTGAAGTGGCATTGCCATCTCCAAGGCCATTTTCATGTTTCATCTTTCTTGGCTATTGTATACACACTACACAGCATCCTTGATATCTGATTTGATTGAATTTTTAGAAATATTATAATTAGGTTGGGATTTTATGCATTTAATTGCTTATTCAATGACTGTTAGAATTTTTTAAATGTCTTTTAACTAAATTTAAAACAAAGTTCATATACATTACTATGGTGCCATATAATGTTTGGATGTCTCTATACATTGAATAATATGTAGCTTATGTTAAACATATTCACTTCCTCAAACATTATTTTATTAAGTAAAATTTCAAAATATTTTCTTCTCTTTCTTAAATTGTTGTTTATTTGTGTCTATGTGAGCCTGAATGAGGCGTACATATGCATGCAGTGGGTTTGGAGGGAGAAGAGGACATTGAGTGCCCCTGAAACTGAAATTACTGGTGCCTATGAGCTGCCATGTGGGTGCTGAGAACTGAAACCAGGTCTTCTGCCATAGCAGTAAGCATTCGTAATGGCTGAACCATCTCTCAGGCCCAGTGTTATATGAGGCACACAATATGCTGTGTGATAGGATTCCAGGGTTCTTTCCTTTATCAAACCACAGCTAGTTCCTATTGATCATTGTTTGCCCATCCTTCTGCCAATGTCCCTAAGCTCTGGTAGTCACTCTTTCTGCCCCCAACCTGTATAAATTGAGCTTTAATAAGATTCCACACATGAGTAGGATCATGTGATACTTTTCTGTGCCTCCATTATTTTATTTAAAATAAAGATCTCAGCTGTATGGTGGTGGCACATGCCTTTAATCCCAGCACTTAGAAGGCAGAGGCAGGTGGATCTCTGAGTTTGAGGCCAGCCTGGTCTACAGAGTGAGTTTCAGGAAAACCAGGGCTGTTATACGGAGAAACCCTGTCTTGAAAAACAACAACAACAACAACAATAATAATAATAATAATAATAATAATAATAATAATAATAATATAAGGATCCCCAATTACATCTATGTGGAACTAATGGCCGCACTGTATTCCTTTTGAGAATGAATAATATTCCATCAAGTATATGTAGTTCATTTTTTATCGTTTTATCAATTGCTAGACAGATTTCATCCATGTCTTGTTATTGTGAGTACATTTGTAGTGAACATGGGAATGCAGATATATCTCTGTATCTTTCTGTGTTTCTCTGTCTCTGTCTCTCTCAATCTCTGTGTGTGTGAATGTGCATGTGGGAGTGTGTGTATGTACATTTGCTTGTGCCTGCACACAAATAACTGCATAAATTTTGAGTCCAAGTCTTACTGTGTATCCCAGGCTGGTCTCATGATCCTCTGAGCTCAGCCTCTCCCACTTCAGCCTCTTTCCTCAGTGCCCCAATTGATGGGAGTGCAGCTGTGCATTTTCTTTGTAGATATTCCACAATTTAGAACTTAACAAAATTTAATTTTGCATGTAAAGTCAACTAATTACCCTGTATCATATTCTCTACACTATCATCTGCTAACATATCATTGCAAATGGAAGTGTTGTACCTTTTTATTTCTCCTTGAGAAAGCATATTAATTCTCTGACTCATATAAAATGTCACTTTCTACTTAATGCCTTCCTCTAGATAGAACAAATTACCTAACCCCCTCCTCCACCCCAACAAACCTTTTTTGTGTTGGAATGGAACCTGCGACTTTTATTTTCCCTATCCTTCCAGGGATCTAATTTGTACCACTGTGCTACATCCACTTCCTTGTTTGCTTCTCTGAAACTTCTTGTTCCTAGGTCAAATCACTTATTTTGGCATGACTTATAAGCTACTCATGTTATCCCAGCATTACAATTAGTGCGTACTTCTTAGCTGTGCCTTATTCATAAATGCTGTCATTGGACTTAGCACAATACTTTTGGAGGAAGATTGTGTAAAAGGTTTCTTGTCTTTTTCTTTTCTTTTCTTCTTTTTCTTTTTTGAAGAGCAGTTTTCTAAATGAATATCCATTATTTGGATATTTCAAGTTAAAACTGCATTTCACTTTATATCTGTGATTGTGAAAAATTAAGTAAAGGATTTTCATCAGTTGTATGATACTGCAGTGCCAATATTTAACACTAGTGCTTAGTATCATTTTCTTTCCTTTTTATTCTTTACTGTGTTACTGTCTCATTCCTTTCAACATCATGTCTGCTTTCCATGAGAGTAGAGATTTCTTTCTTTCTTTGTTGTTGTGTCTCTTCCGAGTACTAACGGTGGATGTGTCACCTTGTAATTGTTTATTTTAGGCCACTGGCCCTATTCCAATCAGAAATCCTCCTGTAACTGTAGACAGAAGAACGATGACTTCTCCACCACTCCTGGATGCCAGCTCCATGGAGAACCCAGCCCTGTTAAATGACATCAAGATCGAGCCCCCAGAAGAACTCCTGGCTAGTGATTTCAACCTGCCGCAGGTGGAACCAGTGGATCTCTCCTTTCACAAGCCGAAGGCTCCTCTCCAGCCTGCTAGCATGCTGCAAGCTCCAATACGCCCTCCCAAACCACCGTCTGCAGCGCAAGCAATGGTGGTATCCACATCACCTGACACGGGCACCACAGCAGCCATTCCTACTGTTCTTACACCAGGCTCTATCCTGGCCTCCTCTCAGGGTACTGGGGGCCAACCGATTTTACATGTGATTCATACCATCCCCTCAGTCAGTTTGCCAAATAAGATGGGTGGACTAAAGACAATCCCACTGGTGGTTCAGTCTTTGCCTATGGTCTATACCAGTTTGCCTGCAGACGGGAGCCCTGCAGCTATTACTGTCCCACTCATTGGAGGAGACGGCAAAAATGCTGGATCAGGTGAGCCCGGATTCACAGCTTCCTAGAGTCACTTGTCTGAGTCACTCTATCTTGTCTCCTTACCTTTTCTAATTTTGAGGGACACTGTTTCAAAGGGATGTTGTTTTGATTATAATTTGTAAGGTGGTTTTAAAATAATTTCTATGTAATGCTTAAGAACGTATAATGAGCCACGTGTCTTGCTTGGCATGTACCTCAGCACTTGAGAGGCCTGGGCAGGAAGATTATGAATCCCAGGCTAGCCTTGGACTACAGAGCAAGTTCTGGGCCACACTGTGGTCTTGGTTACATAAGGAGACCCTGTCACAAAAGAACATATAATTGATCTCCTTTAGACCGTGTTTCTCAAACAGGGTTCCATATTCTTGAGTGAAATATTATGTATCTTTCTAGATTCTTTATATTATTATATATTATAAAATTATAATATGTATTATATAATATTGATATATATTATATAATAATATATGTTATTATCTAATAGTAAATAATTTAAAGCATTATATTTAAAATATTTCCGTCTTAAAGCAAAATGCAAAATGTGAACACTGAGTTAAATTCCAAACCAAAACTAAAAGTTTACACTCACTAAAACAATGTCTGTCCCTTGAACTTCCTTGATGACTGTGTCATTCTTTTTCCTGTGCCATTAGGTAGCAATGCTTTGGTAGAAAACTCAACATTCCTATCCCTTTTCTCTGTATAAACGTGTAGACGATTATTTGACATCCATAACCTTCCTTTTAAGGTTTTCTTGCATTTAAGGTTTGATTTGATTTCAAGGGTATGAAGACATTTTTCCTTAACTGAGTTGGGAATTCTCTAGAAGATTATGTTACAATGTGACTGTGCACTTCTCCATAGACCCCCATCATAGGGCTGCCTAGTAGGTGTTTCACCACAGGTCATCCATTGAGAAAACTAGGTTGAGAATTTGCTCAGAAGAGAAGAGTTTTATATGCTATCATCTATCTATTTATTTATGTCTTGTAGTACTGGTAGTTGAACTGAGCATCTCACACATATTAAACAAATACTCTACTACTGAACTACATTTCTTCAGCCTTATTTTGATTTTAAAAACAAAACAAAACACACCTTTTTTAAAAAAAAATTGAGATACAGTTTTAGAAGTTTGCTCAAACTGGCTTAAACATAATGCCCAAGTAGAGGATGAACTTTTGAGTCTCCTGAATTAGCTTCTTGAATAACTTGGGTTACAGGCCTGTGCCACCAAGTTTAAACTTTTTAAGTGAGCTCAGAATTAAGAAGGCATAAATTAAGTCCCTTCTTTCATTGTTTTCAACAACACAGTTTCCTCTCCAGAACTACATTTATTTTTGTTCATAATCAGAAATGATCATAGAAAGTATGTTGCTTCTGACATGGTTTGAAATATTTATTGCCACCATATGTGTGATATTACAATCAGTTTTTAGTGTCATAACTGTTGGGATAATCTTAGGAGTTCTCCCAAGACAGTCAGGGAACTATTCAGAGACTTCAGTGGACCTTGTATTCATTGAACCTAAGTACATTGAACCTGTCTTTTCTGCAGACCCTTTCCGAGGAGCTGGAGGCAGATCATGTCCTAGGGAAATTCACATTCTGGTGATGCACAAACAGTCCTTCTACCCTTCTTTCAAAGACATCTCTGTTCCTTCTTGTGGTAAAATGTTGTTTAGAAGTTGCTGTCTTCCTATTCTTTCTTTTTTTTTAATTATTTTTTTTATCTTACACCTCTCAATATGGTCCAATCTGGGAATCCTGAAAATAATTGTTAATATGCATGCATCCTGGTCTACAGTACTCCCTTTCTTTGTTTTTAGTCAAAGTTGATCCCACCTCCATGTCTCCATTGGAATTTCCAAGTGACAGTGAGGAGAGTGCAATTGAGAGTGGATCTTCAGCCTTACATAGTCTGCAGGGATTTCAACATGAGTAAGTACTTAAAAGTGTGTGTGTGTGTATGTGTATGTGTGTGCATGCTTATGTATATGCCAAGCACATATGTATGCATGTGTGCATGTATACACAGGTATGTAGGTAGAATTAACAGTACACAGCACTACAAGTTTGAGAAAAACAAGAGACAAGCTAACTGCTTTCCCCAAGAACTATATGAGTGTCTGTCCATGCATGTGTATGTTCATGCATATTAAGTTGCATTTTATTTGTGTATCATGAATTTTATCCTTGAAAAAAACATCTTTTAATTTCCTATAAATTATAGTTTTGTAGTCTTTTTCTCTATAAGTTTAAAATGGCCTGGTCTTCTAATCCTGAAACAAATTGGAAACAATTAGCTTGCATTGAGCAAGCATGTAATATGAAAAAAAAATACATTTTTGTTAAGAACAAGAATGGCACTGGTTGAAGTGAAATGTTTACACAGTTTGACAACATAGCTACTCAAGGAAAAATTAACCACCTCCAGTGCTTTCTCAGGGAACTGCATTTCCTAAGCAGTTGAAAGAACTGCTTACATTGTTCCACCTATTTCTTCTCTTGGGAAGATCGTATTAACTTTGCATAAATGATAAGATGATATGAAATAGCACCTCTGTAATTGGTCTTATCTCTCTTTCTTAACTTAGACCAACAACAATGGCTCAAATGCATGGAGAAGAGTCTCTTGACTTAAAGAGAAGACGGATTCACCAGTGTGACTTTGCAGGCTGCAGCAAAGTGTACACCAAAAGCTCTCACCTGAAAGCTCACCGAAGAATCCATACAGGTCTGCTCCTCCCACCCCTTACCACCAACTCTGTCACCCCTGCCATTGTTCCAGCTCTAATACACATTTGCATACACAAATACTAAGAGAGAGGAGACTAGGAGGAGAGAGAGAAAAAACTACAAGAAAGACAAGATCACTTATGGTTTTTGCCCCTAATGTTGTTCTTATCCTAAAACTACTTTCATAAAAAACAATCTAGCAAAACGGAAAGCCTGGTACCTTCCTGTGAGTATGCTGCTGTGCCTATTTTTGCAATTCTAGGTGTTAAACTCAAGGTATCATGCATGATATGCAAGTACTCTACCAACTGACATGTCTCCCCAGCACCTTAGATTTTTGTTTTGTTTTATTTTTATTTTGTGTGCATTGGTACTTTGTCTATATGTATTTCTGTGTGAGTGAGTGTGTCGTCCCCTGGATCTGGAGTTACAGAAAGTTGTGAGTTGCCACAGGTCCTGGAAATTGAACCCAGGTCCTCTGGAAGAGCAGTCAGTGTTCTTAACTGCAGAGCCATCTTCTCCAACCCCTTTGTTTTGTTTTTAACACAGGGTCTCACATAGCCATGTCTGACCTCAAACTTGCTATGTAGCTGAGGCTGACCTTGAATTTCTGATGCTTTTTATTTCAACCTCCCAATATTTTGGCTTTGTTTAAGGAATGGCCATACTCTTTTGATGTACTAGTTTACTTTGCCACCAACAGAGCAAGAGGAACCTTTTTCCTACATATTCTTCTCAACACCCGGTATTTGTTTGTTTATTATAATAGCCATTGTGGCCAGGCTGAGGTTGAATCTCAATACAAGTTTCTTTTGTTTCTCTGCAACAACTAAACACTAAGCATTTTTCATGTATTTACCTGAGTATTTGTGTTTCTTCTTTTCAATAGTGTGTGGTCATATAATTTTCCCATTTCATGAGTGAATTAATCATTTGCTGTGAACTTTTTTGAGTTCTTTCCATATTGTGGATGTTATTACTCTGTCATAAGAATAACTAACAAAAGTTTTCCTCTCATTCTATAGGTTGCCAGTGTCTTGTTAATTTTTTCCTTTATTCTGAAGATGCATTTTAATTTGTTATCACCCCTGTCTTGAGTCTTGATTTTATTTCCTGAGCTCTTAGAGTCATTTTGAGGAAATTGTTGCTTATGTGTACATCTTGAAGTATTTCAAATATATTCCTCTGCTAGTTTGAAAATTATAGTTCTGACCTTAATTTCTGTACCATTTTGAGTTAAGTTTTAGTTTAGTGAGAGAGAGGGATATATTTTCAATGTTTTGCATGTGGGTATCCAGCTTACCCAGTGCAATTTATTGGTAAGGATGACCTTTCCCCAATGCATGTGGTTTAGGCACTTCTAATCATTTTAATAACTGTTTCAGCAAACCAACTTTAAAGTGGAAAGTGTTATTTTGGTCCCTGGTTTAGAGGTTTTAATCTATGACCACCTGCCTCCATTGTTTCTGGTGAAGCAGAGCATCATGGTGGCGCAGAGTGGCTCACCTCATTGTGGTAAACAACAGACACTGAGAATAAACAAGCAAAAGCTATGGACACAATATACCTTCTGAGTCCTACTCCTGCTGATCGCCTTCTTCTCTGCATGCTCTGCCTCATATTTTCCATCACTTAGGAATAATAAAAATTTTAAGAGCGTAGATTGATCATAACACTCATAATCCAGTCACTTCAAGCATTACCATCTAGGAACATATTAAATATTGGTGTTATTTTATACTAAAACATAATGTTTTTTGTTTGTTTTGTTTTGTTTTGTTACTATTGCTCTGTAGTATGTTTTGAAATCAGCATTACACATTTTACGTAGGATTTCTTGGCTGTTTAGGTCTTTTGTGCTTCCATATACATTTCAAGATTTTCTTCCTATTTTTAAAATAATGCCATTGGAATTGTGATAGGTATTACATTTAATATGTCGATTGCTTTTAGATTCGTGATACTTTTTAATATTTACATGACTAGTCCAAGAAACTCGGAGGTCTATCCATGTTGGAGTATGTAGAGTTGGGTTTTTTTTTTTAATGTTTTATAATTTTTATCTTCTAGTCTTTCATCTTTTGGGTTTCTATCTTCTTGGAAAGATTTATCCCAGGATAGTCTTAGGCATTTGTGATTGGGGTTATTTTCCTATTTCTTTTTCTAAGAATTACATTTATTGATTTATTTTGTGTGGGGATAGGCACATGTGCCACTCGTATATGTATAGAAGTCAGAGGACAATTTGCAGGAATTGATTCCCTCCTACCTTATGGCTCCAGGGGACTGAACTCAGGTTTTCAGGCTTGGTGGCAAGTACCTGTAGCCACTGAACCATTTCGGTAGCCTGTCTCTCTTTTTCTTCCTTTGTTTTTGTTTGCTTCTTTATTTTTTGTCTTGCATTATTGCCATGCATAAAATTTCAAGCACTATATTTAAGAGGAGTGCATCTTATAGACATCTTTGCTTTGTTTTTGTAGTACAAGAAGTGCTACCTGTGTCCTCTCATTCAGTATTATGCTAGTTATAGGTTTGCTGCATCTGACCTTTATCATGTAACGATATGCTCCTCCTATTCCTAATTTCCGCAGGGCTCAGATATTGAACTGTATCTGAGTCCTGTCTCATTTATTGAGATTGCCCTGGGATATTTACCTTTGATCCTATTTGTGTACTGTGTTACATTATTCATTTGTGTGCACTGACCCATCCTGGCTTTATTATTTTTTATATACTGTTTAATTCAGTTTGAAAATAATTTATTGGCAGTTTTGTGCCTATGTTCTTAGGGTTGTTGGCCTGTAGCTTGCTTGCTTGTTTTTTTTTTTTTTGTATGTTTGTTTTGTTTTTTTTATTGTTGTTGTTGCTTTGTTTTTTTGTTATGTGCCCTCATCAAGTTTTGCTGTAGAAAACACTGATTTTAGGTTGAACACAAGTTTCTTTAACCATAATAAAAGGCAAAGATCTTGAAATAGAAAGACTTCTTTCTGAGTGTTCTAGCAATGAGCCCAGGTAGCCACATGATGGCACTACTTTAACAAGTCAGTTATTCTTCATTTGGGCATAGTGAAAATAGGAGTTATTAGGAGAAATCCTGAGCAATTACAATAAAGTCTATACATAGCAAACCATTGTGAAGTGTGGAGATGAGCTACTACTATATCAAATAAAAGTTAAAAGAACCAAAACCTCATTTACATTCTCTACATTCTCTGAAATCCCATTCTCCTTTCTAGATGTTAATAATCATGCGTAACCTTCCAGTCTTTTCCCTTTTGTTTGAGAGATAGACAAAGTGCTCCTGCCTAACCCAGAACTCACTATGTAGATCAAGCAGGTTTTAAACTCAGAGATTTCCCTGTTTCTGCCTTATGGGTCTTGGATTAAAGGTGTGTACCAGTATACCCAGGTTATCTTTAATCTTAATATATTCAGTTGTACGTCATTCTTCTTAGAGGCTAATGTAGACATTTCTGAATATTGAAATGCTCAGTAACTCACATTTTTAATCAACCAAATAGTTTCTTGGTACTACTCTAAACCTGTGAGTCAGGCTGGACTCCATTCTGTTGTCCATTATCTAACAGCTATATAATTGATTAGTGAACACTTGAAAGGGTTAGTATGTGTCAAGAGTAAGTTAAAAGAAAAGATGCAAATCCTATTGCCACTAGAATTTAAAACTTCAAAAATGTAAATGCCTTGGAAATTTTATAATGGGTCAAGAGGGCATAGAAGAACAAAGACTGTTAAAATCCTAATACACTTTTGTTGTCTGTGTTATTGTTTTTCTCTTGTAAAATACACAATCATTATAATAGAGAAACATGGAAGAAAATTAAGTGAAAACAATTATTACTATAATTTGTGACCTACACTTAGTCAAGTTAAATTTATTTGTTCATATAGCATATTTCTTTTGATTAAAAAAAATTTTAGGTTGGTAGTAGTGCTATATACCTTTAGTCCCAGCACTTGGGAGGCAGAGGCAGGTGGATCTTCTGAGTTCAAGGCCAGCCTGGTCTACAGAGTGAATTCCAGGTCAGCCAGGGATACATATAGAACCCTTGTCTAGGAAAAAACAAAATAGATTTATTTATTTTTATTTTATGTGTATGGGTGTTTTGCTTATATATATATGGCTGTATATTATGTATATATCTGGTGCCACAAAGGCCAAAAGAAGGCATCAGATCCCCTGGAATTGGATTTACCAATAGTGGTGAGTCACTATGTCAGTTCTCGGAATTGAGCCTGGGTTCTCTGCAAGAACAGTTCTGAATCACTGGGCTGTCTCTCCATCCCTAATTAATTAACTTTTGCAACAGAATCTTGCTTAGAAACCTGGTTTAACCTCAAATTCTTGACTTTCCCACCTCAGTTTCTTTAGTACTAGGATTACACATGTTCACTACCACTCTTGGCTTATTTTTTGTTATAATATATATGATATATACCATATATTATGAATATATGCACACACATAATGATTTTAAAGCATTCAAGCAGTACAAAGTTTGTAAAAGAAGGGGGGGGCTTATACCATCCTTTTACCATCTTTTCTCATTGTTGGTATTTTTTAATTTCCATTTCAGTGTGTTGATACTGACTTTAAGTGTACAAAGGTATGGTATTTGACCTAAGCATTTTAATGGGGTTGCACTGTGGTAGTTTCTTCTTATACTACTTTTTCTCCTCATTTCTCATTCTTGAGCATTCATGTCCCATATACAATCCAGCTAGAACCTTAAGATTCTGAGCATGGAGCTATTTAAAGTACTTGGGCCTGACAAGTCTCCCCATTCCTTCCATGTACAAGTTACCTTACACAGATGCAAGCTTTGGCTGAGTGCTCTTTCCATTGAATCATGTGTTCTTATTGTAGATGACTTTTTTTCAGATTGCTCATTAGGTTGTATCAGATGAGACAATATATAGTGGCAGCAACCTGGATTTGTGTTACAATTTGCATGTGAAATTCTGCCTACCAGTCCATGTATTTGAAAACCTGGACACCAGCTGGTTGTGCTGTTTGGGGGAGGTTGTGGAAATTTTGGCAGTTGGAGCTTGGCTGTAGGAAATGAATCTCTGGATGACAGTCATATACCGCAGGCCCACTTTCTATTCTCTTTGTGCTTTCTGATCTCCAGAGCTGTGAACCAAGCTCCTGAGAGAATGGCGCCTCTTGACACTGTCTACTTTGCCATAATGGACTTTATTCCCTCGAACTGTGAGCCAAAATAAGTCTTTTCTTCCCTAACTTAACTTCTTATTGGCATTTGGTCACAGAAATGGGAAATATTACTAATACAGTTTGGATTTCAATTGTACTGTTTACTAGAAATCTAGGTTTTCTTTTTTGTTTTTTTTCTTTTGAGTGTGCCTTACTATACAGCCTTGCATAGGCTGGAACTCACTATATAGACTAGCCTGGCCTCAAACCTGCAATGTACCTCTTGCCTCTCCCTCTTGAATGCTAGGATTACAAGTATGCTTTCCTATGACTGGCCTCTACCTTCTAAAATGCTTTGAGCAACCTTGTGAGATATTTTTGCCTCCTCTGTTTAGAGTTGAGAAAATAGACTTGGCCAGGGGAAAGGGATTATTTAATATATAGTTAGTGTGATAAAGGCAGAATCCAAAGATCCTTTGAGAGCCTGTGTTATCTCCACTCTACTGTCTCAGCCTAACTTTAGAACTTCTGCAAACAGCACTGTGTAGATGGGTAGATTTTTAAGTTTCTGACCACAAAAAAACAGTATGTGAAGTAATACATATGCTAATTACATATATTTATCCAGTCCCATAGTGCGTGTATATCTTGAAACTTGTACAAGACAAACAATTTGATATTTATTTGGCAAAAGTGTTAAAGAGGTAAATGAGAGCACCTCTTCTTACTTTTAATCTAAAGTTTTGATATAAATATAAATTAGGTATTCTGCTGTTTTTCTGGTAGCCAGTCATTTCCTGATTATCTTCATGTTGTTATTTACCCCCTGCAGGAGAGAAGCCTTACAAATGCACCTGGGATGGCTGCTCCTGGAAATTTGCTCGCTCGGATGAGCTTACTCGCCATTTCCGTAAGCACACAGGCATCAAGCCCTTCCGGTGCACAGACTGCAACCGCAGTTTTTCTCGGTCTGACCATTTGTCCCTGCACCGCCGTCGTCATGATACCATGTGAATATCACAGGCCACAGCAGACATGCTGCGCTGGTCTCTTGAGTATGTGCTGAAGTCAAGACTATGTTTGCCTCTGACTACAACTTGCCCTGTGATTGGGGTTAGAACAGCCTACTGAGCCAGGTTCATGAGACTGCAGAAAAAGTTAGCTGGTCTCCCATGTGGCTCTTCCTATTCCACTTTCACCTCTCCACTGTCCAGATTTCAGTTTTTTCAACCTCTTCCTGGGTTGAATTCTAGTGCGGCGCCCATGGCTGCCCTCCCTGATCCCTCATGCTATGTTATAGACATTTTTCCTACGATAAACATACAAAAACAGGAATCAAACTGAAGGCTGTGAACAAACATACGCTGCTCCACCCCCCCACATCTTTTCTTGTTTTCTAAAACTTTTATACATATATATGTATACATATATATATACATATATATAACTTTATACATGTATATATATAACATATATACATACATATATATATGTATAACTTTTATACATATATATATGTATATATACTGTAACCAGTACTTAAAGCCACTTAAGAGTGTCCTAAAATGAGTTGTTGTTGTTTTTTTTAATTTTTCAAAGTCATAGCTACAAGGGGCATAGCAGTGGAGTTGATTGGTCAGATTTATAGAGAATTGAGTCTGAAATACAGAGTCTCATACCAACCCTGATGGTTTTGTAGATCCATTTTTCCTTTTTCTTAGCAGTTTGGTTTACAAACAGTGCCAGCCCTCCTTTTGAGGTCCACAAAAAGAAATGAAGGGATTTTCTTGACCTCCTCTTCCTCCTCATGCTCCTTTATATTTGAAGTTTTTATGGCACAATTTCATTATTTTTAGTTTAAGTTTGGACAAATATTCAAAGCACAGAAAGATAGGGAGAAGTATTCTAGGAAAATATGTCAGACAGTGACAGGAAAAAGCAGACCAGGGAGGACCCTGTGAGTAATTACTTGGATAAGGCATTAGAACTGTTGTTAATTCCCAAACCTCATTCAGAGGGCAGTCTGTTGAAACAGCACTTTTGATGGGCTACACTGTATCGCTCATTCTTTTGTTTACATAAAGCAACCATTCAGCGTATTACCTGATGAGAAATTGCACACTGAGCATGTTATAGAGAGGTAAGGGGTTGCACTAAAGGATTTTTGTTTACTTCATGCCATTTTTTGGCCCTCATTCTTCTGTTTTTAATGGGATAGAAAGGGTTTTCTTTCTGACACTGAAATAAAAAAACCATTTTTTAATGTTTTACAACTGCTATCAGTACCCAGACCATTTATTTTAGACATAACAACAGGATACGTAAGATACATTTGGTTGTCCAGTCAGACTGTTCATAATATTCTCTGGGGCATAAAACCCTCTGTTCCTGGCCCTGGACCTTAGATCTACCTCCTCGTGGCATATTTCCTCTCCTGGGGAAAAAGGAGAGGGGCTTTGATATCAGTAGGATTGGACACAGCCTCTTGCCTAAAGGTTGTTTTCATACTAAACCTTTTTTCTTGGCAGATATTCAAAAAGTTCTGGCTTGAACACTTTCGGTTACTACCTCCTGTGGCTGTACTTTCTAACTAAATCCTAGAATTCTACCATCCAGAAGGGGACCTGTCTACTTCTACCCATTTCTCACTTTTCCAGACAAGGCAAATACGGGTCAGATTCTTTCTCCAGATATTTCCTTGAGGCCTTATAGACATGTATACTCCTTCTCCCAGGGATCACACTAGTAAACCAAATTAAACAAAGTTATGTGATTGGTTGCGATATTTGTCCAATTTTATCTGTTATAGTTCAGAAAACTTTAGATCACTCAACATTTATATAGAGTCGATGACAACAGTAAGTAGGTTGTGCTCATGGTCATTGCCAGTTAACATCAGGCACACAGTGTTTCTATTCTCATTTTTTATAATTCCAGTTTTTTAAAATTTACCTTGTTTCAAATTTCACTGTCTCTCCAGACCATAAATTCTCCATAAGTTAAGGCCTCCTTGTACTTTTCAAGATGACATGTAGGTTTTACTCTTATTTTGATAAGGGATTTTTCCTGACTTGGGTATACAAGTTCCAAGCTGTATACTGATTACTAAAGCACTAATAAATAATATCCATGGCTAGTCTATTAATGGGGACCACAGTGTAAGACAGATTGATAAACGTATATTGCTACCATGAATGAGCTTAAGCTTATAATTGAGTAGTTGCTACAATATTGTAGAACAGAGTAGAAAGACTTACCCACTTTTTTTTTTCCACTTTGGATCCTAAGATTTGTTTTACTGAATTCAGAATTGGCATGTGCCAATTAGACTTCAGGATATTGAGACATGTATTTATGATATTTACATGGAGACATATTTATAAATGAGCACTTTCAAATTATAGTGCTTATAAAAGGGTGATCAAATGAGGATCACAGATATTGATGTTCCTAGCATCTCTGAGCCTTTATTCAAAATATATTTCTGCAGAGTCACAGTGGACTTTGCAAATGATTTGCTCATGGTCTTTAGTCAAGAAGCAATTCTGACCCTATTCTCCTTGCTCTTTTTTTTCCAAAAATGGTGAAAATCTTTCCAATCACAAACATCTTCTTTAAAAATGTGTAACAATTAAGAGAAATCTGTAGAGTACGTGGATCCAAATGCAGTACAGTGAAGAGCTCCTGCACCAAAAGCACATAGAAGTTTGCTAGAGAGTGGAGTAGAAAGGAAACAGTACATCTCCCTTGGCCAGCATCCAAGGTTTAACTAAGTTTAATAGGCTTGCAACAGCAAAAGACTCTTAGTAGCATATTTGCCTAGGACATTGAAACTTTGTCGGGATGGACAATATGCAGGGATTTATTGTAGTGGAATTTCTCCTTTTGTAGACATTTGGCAACTGAACATAACTATTGATAGTTGCCATTGTAAAATGTAGGAAATGTAAACTGGTTTGATGGGTTAGTGGAGTTCATTATGTGCAGAACACAATGTTTGTAGAAAAAATTTCTTTTTAAATAAACTTTCCATTTTGGAACTCCTTTTTAGATGTTCAGAAAAAAAAATGTGAAGGTAGAACAGAGTTCCTGTTTACTCCACATCTTACATCAATATGGTACACTTGTTATAATTAGTGAATAATATTGATACATTAATATTAACTGTAGTGAATGCTTTATTCAGACAACCTTTTTTTTATCTGCCGTCCTTTTCTCTGCTTTAATATCTCTTTCAAAATACAACATTGTATTAATAGTCATAACTTCTCATTCTCCTCCTCATTGCAACAGCTATCTCAGACTTCCTTGCTCTCAAGGACATTGGGAATATGTTTTCAGTTGGAATTTATTTAGTATTTTTCTAATGAAAATAAAAAAAGAAAACAAAACAAAACTAGGTTAATGGATTTGGGCCCGAACAACCACACAAGTGGTTACTATTTTCATAACATATTTATTTTTTTAATTAATTTTTTAAAATTTTTTATTAATTACACTTTATTCATTTTTTATTCCCCCATAAGCCCCTCCCTCCTCCCCTCCGTTAATTAAATTTTTATTTTTTTACATTAATTACATTTTATTCGCTTTGGATCCCAGATGTAACCCCCACCCTCATTCCTTCCCAATCCCACCTTCCCTTCATTATCTCCTCCCTGCCCCTCTATAAGTCCACTGATAGAGGAGGTCTTCCTCCCCTTCCATCTGACCCTAGTTTATCAGATCTCATCAGGACTAGCTGCAATGTCCTCCTCTGAATCCTAGCTAGGTTGCTCCTCCCACAGAAGGTGGGGAGGTCAAAGAGCCAGCCACTGAGTTCATGTCAGAGACAGTCCCTGTTCCCCTTACTAGTAAACCCACTTGGATACTGAGATGCCACGGGGTACATCTGAGCAGGAGTTCTAGGTTATATCCATGCATGGTCCTTGGTTGGAGAATGTTATTCTCAGTCATATAGCTGAGATAGTGTATATGAGATTTCTCCCATGTAGCACCCTTTCCTATCATAATACTGCACTCTTTGGAAGAAAGTTACTGTGTTCAACCACACATAAGGAAATGGTGAGTTATGCACTATGTCCTTGAGAGCAATGGTCTACATAAATTCTTTGGAATTCTTCTGCATAGGAGCTTTGCCTCCTCTCTGTTTATTTATTTACATAATTTTTACATAATTGTTTATTTATATCAGCATGGACTCATTGATATTTATTACATAGTTTATTTTATAATCCAATTCTACTTTTATTTTATTGCCCAAACGGTAGCTTTGACTGTTAGAAGCTCTTTTGAATTGATCCCTAAGTCTTTTTTACGTACCCCATCATCTTTTTTAGCATGTGATTAATTTTTGGTGTTGCAAAATGTTCCAGGCTCATCTTGCTTTTGTTTTGTGGAGGGAGTTCTATAACCAGTCATTTCTTCAGTGAGTTTTTACTGAAGAATTGTATCAAAAACCAAGATCTGGGCACTATATATGTTCACTATTTTGGGGATATTATTTCTTCAAAGCCTTCTCAGCCAGTAGTTATATATATATATATATATATATATATATATATACCTTTCTATAAACATTTCCATATATAATCATCTTTATTTATCTGTATATGAGTTCATATTGTTTTCTTTAGCTCTTAGTTATCTGCATAGATTTGCATTCTAACAGCAAGAACCATAGCTCCACCTTCTGTCATTTATTTATTAATTGTTGAAATCCAGTTTATATACATGTTAACAGTGTCTTAAGTGTTATCCTGTATACCCATGAGAAAAATCAATCAACTAGAACCCGGTGCTTATGTACATGATAATAACATTTTTAGAACTTCAACAACTCTTCGAAACAGAATGACCTACAATATTCTTGAATTAGAGATTTATTCTCAGTTTTATCATAGTCCTCAAATGTTTTCTCATACATGAAGCAAACCATTGGTGATTGACCTAACCTTGAATAAGCCAAGGGAAATTATTGATCTTTCACAGTATGTTAATTCCTGTATAAGGGACCATTTAGAAAGCAGCCATATGGGCCTAATTTAAAGAAACACTGTCTTTTCTGAACTAAATATGGATCTCTGACAACGGGTGGTACCCTGATTTGCCTCTCTTCTGTGTTTTCCCCAGTTTCAAGGCAAGTTGCATCACCTCTCTGTGCCTCTATTAACCCATCTAAAAATGGGGATCCACATATCTACCTCACAGGAGTGTTGTGAGGCTTCTTATTAATAGATGCTTAAAAATTATGCGTGATCTCTAAATGAGCGAGAAAGTATTATAATCATTACGATGATGATAATTAAAGTACCCTATATTTATCCTATGGAAAAGGAGATTAACCCTCATTGTTAGTAAA